CAATTCCTTGGGTTTCCGACAAGACCTTCGCTGATGCTCTAAAACCTCAGTCATTAACAGCGATATGTTTCGGAAATTAAACATAAAGGGACTTCTTCAGCACAAACATTCTTACCAGCTCGAATGTTCACGCATGTGAATTTGGGCTGAACTTTCGCAGTAGCAGGTGGATGTCGCATAATATGCATGTTTCGTCTTCAGTAGATTTCGAAGCACCTGCGCCCTTCTCCGCCTCCAGTGTTTTTGACTCTGTCTTGAGACCGGGTCCTGGTGGGGGAGGTGGAGGAGAGAATGCGGTAGAGGCTGTGCAAGTCTACATTTACTATAAACTGCATCACGCACAAGTAACCGTCCCTGCCTTCACATTGCTGTGGAGCACACTGTGGATATCGTCCAAAACGACCGTCGCATTGTAGCATGTGTCTGTACATGGGGTTTAAGGATGAATTAACGGTGCACTTTTTCCATTAGGGCGTATAAGCTGACTGCATAAGGTAACCACCGGTCTGTGCGCCAATTTTATTTGGTGTTTTTTCGGATGTCTTTCAACGAGTTAAGAGACTTTTAATGAAAGTAAAGATTCGTTAAGTACAACGAGTGACTGATCTCATGAAATTTTGGCCGAAATTCTGAAATGTGTTTCCGATTAGGAAAGATTTCTTAAGTGGGATTGTAAAACCGATTATCGAGCGGAATAATTCTATAATATTTTGGATTTGTCAGGATGTCAGTTTTTCAATCCACTGCTTTTCATTCTTCTGCTGAAAGCGCAGTTGGTAAAAAATGACTGCTTAATTAGCATGCATTTTTCCAATTAGATTTTTGATAGTCTTGGAAATTCAAATATATTTTATAGAAGACATGCACAAAAATATGCGTTCTTTCAGTCGTTTGATGGAGAATCACGTCATCTATATATTTTGTACTCGACGAAGCCGTATAATTCCCGAATAATTTGGAGCCTCATAAGTCGTTGCATTAGCGCTCAATGATTTCGGTCTACAAGGCGCATGCGTACCGCGTAGAGAAAATAACGTATTCTTCTACGCGTTTAAAAATATACCATGTAGAATCCATAAAATGTTGAAATGGATGCGGACTATTTTGTAAATTTTATGAGGAGCCGTGGCAAACCTACAGGTACGATTCAGTATGAATGGGCATTGCACGTAATTAAAAATCTCGTAATTACAATCTTTGTTAGAACACAATTATACTTCTTATTTTAGTATAAAACATAAGGCGGGCGTGATTCTCTATCCAACGACCAAGAGAAGGCATATTTTCTTTCATGATTTCTATATCGAAAATTAATGTGAAAAATGCATGTCAGTTAACTAGTCATTTTTACGGAATACGCTTTCTACAGGAGATTGAAAAGCTAACATCCTGACGAGTCCGAAATATTAAATGATAATGCCGCAAGATAATCGGGTTTGCAACCACGCCTAAGTAATCCTTTCTAATCGAAAACGCACTTTGGAATTTTAGCCAACATTTCATGAGATCGGTCACACACTGTATTCGCTTTGGGCGCCTCTTTGGAACTATGTAGTTACTTCTGTATTGACACTTGTTTTCTCATACGTTGATACGCAACATCTCTAGGATAAACATCCCCTTATTGGCTTTGCCTTCTCCGTGGCCGACTGCTGACGGGCTCGCGTGACCTTTGTCCCTTTGGTTGTCGCAAAGTCGATGTGCCCGTGGCCGTCCCCTCATAACCGGATGGAGTGATTAGCCGTCACAGCGTGTGCTTATCACGTTCAGTTTTGGGCGGCGACCCAGAACGAATGCAGGTCAGCGGGAACAGACATCTCACCAATGCGATGAAGAAAATGAGGACGCTTCCGAAACGGTAACACAAATACATTGTGCTCCACGAAATCGTCTCCTTTTTGTCTTCCTCCAGAATGGGGGATACAAAGAATTATCCGAACATGGAGTCGTTACTCATGTATGTATAGAATGGTAGGGGGCGCTCACCGATCGTTCTTACGGAACTCACTCGTTCCGTTGTGCCTTATGGGCTCTCTCTCTCGAGCCCAACCAGCAGCCGCGCAGCGGCGCATGATATACGGGCAGTATGCTATTACCGACAAAGAAAAGAGAGACTGGAATGGCCAGTTCTGGCTTATTAGCCGACGTCAGCCAGTCATACCCAACCCCGAAGTGTGGAACAGCCGAGGCCCCCTACCATTGTATATTCCCGATCGAAACCGACAGGTCAACGGGTGAGAAGCCCACTGGTTAGAGGCATGGACTTCTAACTAACAGGTCGCGAGTTCGAGCCTCGTGTGTTCCACACTTCGGGGTTGGGTATGACTGGCTAACGACGGCTAATAAGCTAGAAATGGCAATTCCAGTCTCCCTTGTCTTTGTCGGTAATGTCATTCTGCATGTCTATATATAAATGTTGAACGGTTGAGGTAGTGTGCATTCCGAGATAATATGATGAAGATAGATGGCTCGTCGGAAAAAAATCGAGTTGTACGCGTGAATTTTCGAGTTGATGACACCAACCCGTCGTCAGACGGCAGAGACCAATGCTTGTTTTATGGTCACCAGAAAATCGAATTGGCATGCGAATTTATCTAAGTGCATGTTAAGTTTATCAACAGAAGGGTTTATTTTGATTGACTCGCTTGTCAAACAGCACGTAGTACCTTCAAATCTTCGGTTTACTCCGGGGGGAACTAAGTTTAACGATTGTGCTGCTTGTAAGTGGACGGTATTTAGCATTTCCTAGTGACTGTACCCACTTCAAATTTTGTCGACAACTCGACCGTCGATTCCGACGATGACTGCCGCGCGTTACACACCAAGGTGCAACAGGCAGGTGACTTGCGTGTGAATTAGTTTATAGTGATAGTATACTTGCACACAATCTACCGCACTCTCTCCTTCCCACTCCCCTCCTGGACCCGGTTTCAGGACAAAGTCAAGGAGACCGGAGACTGGGGATGGCGCGGACGAAAGGTTGACAGGTTTCATAACAAGGTGTCTCATAAACTGCTTCGAATTTTAACCAGATATATACAAACAGCTGGGGCATCCTGCAACGTATGCCGACTTGCTCATAATTTAGTTTATAGTGAGTTTAGACTTGTTCTGCATCTACCACACTCCCCCATTCCCACTCCCCACCCGGACCCGTTGTCAAAACAGAGTCTAGAATATCGGAGGCGGGGAGGGCTAAGGTAAAAGGCTGACAGTCTTCCTAACGTGGTGCATCAATAACTTCGTCAAATTTTAACTATATATATATATATATATATATATATATATATATATATATATATATATCGAAAGAAATAAGCTCATTGGGCAAGATAAACAAGTTTTATTGTGACTTTTCGATCTTGATTCCCCAAGGCGTCTTCAGACGTGAAGTAATTGTGTAAAACACGCTGAAAAAATCGATTTTGCCGTGTCTCTCCTGCTGGTGTAATGTTATGATTGGTTAACGTCTTTACCACTTTTCCTTGAGGCTGTTGTACACCGTATCTAATTCTACGTGTCGATTAATGCATGCGCTATCAGAATGAATGGTCTCTAAAAATTGACGGCCCTTTTGGATGAGCAGACACCTACAATGCGAGTCCTGTCCCAGGCGAATTTGTGGCCCGTTTCCAACGTATGCATGGCAACTTGGGACAAGTGGTCGTGCCTTTTTACGGCCAACTGATGTTCGTGTATTCGCGTAGAGGCCATCCATTCTGATAGTGTATGCATCAATCGACACGTGGTAAAGACGTTAGCCAATCATAACATTACACCAGCAGGAGAGAAAAGGCAAAATCGATTTTTTCGGCGTGTTTAAATGTTAACTGTTTTGCACACTTACTTCACGTCTGAAGACGACTTGGGGAACCAAGACCGAAAATGCACAATAAAACTTGTTTATCTTTCCCAAAGAGCCTATTTCTTTCGAATTCTGATTCTTGGGATGCCTGTTTTCAAATTCACAAGAGCCTCACACATATATATATATCAAAGGGGAGACGACAGAGTCTGAGGGTAGATTGATACAGCACTGTTTCGGGCTTGTTTGCCTTCATTCAGCCAATCATAACCCTGACCACCAGCAGCTGGTACCGGAAACACAAACACGCACTCAGACGAACCTGGCGCAGCTGGTCCACCACTGGGGTCTACCAGATGCGTCATAAGCACTTAATCGAACCGAAGTTCATCAGTGCCTCGCCACCTGCCATTCTCTGTCGCTGCAGATCGGGTATATATATATATGCCATGCATCGTGATGTTCCCCTCCGCTACGCAACCAACGTCGTCGGTGAGTGGGGACGCATGCGCAGGGAGTTTAACGAAACTGTGGCTTCCTCTGTGACTGCATTGCACCCCATGTCAATTGAGCATCTATGGCGCTTACGACTCGGCCACCTACTCCCCCCCATCACTTTGGCAACACATTGACCTCGATCGACCGCCTGCGCTTCGCTAATTGGCTGAGCGCGGACGTGACTTCAGGGGCATCCCGCGCGCACACAGGCACGCGCCTCGTGCCGTGGATAAGGACACCAAAGTCTGGCTCACGATTTGTGCCGTCGGCTTCTGAACTGTGTGTTTCCTTCCTGGTGCAGTACCATGCACTAATTCCGTCGCGTTGATCCTTTATTTATGCACTTTCGGGGTGTCGACATGTCGCCACGACAGACATTCCATCTAACGCCACTGTTTCCGCACTGGAGACAACTTGTGCGGTCATGCGCCGTTATTTTCCACTCCTGTGTAAACACTTTACATGGTCGTAAATTATCCTGACCGTCGCTTATCTGTCCTCATATCATCCGTCGTCCAGAATAAAGATGGCATACTGACTTCGTATGGCAGGGGTATGGGTTGTAACCCCCTGGGAAAACCCAGAGTTGTAATGAGTGACCCTAACTTTTAATTCGTGAGCATTTAGTGACAGCCCGAACGCAACCGCAACCCCAATATACTTACTTATACTTGATACGGCTGAGATTATGCCTGATCTAGCCGGCCTCAATGACGTCCCAAACTCTACCTCTCCACGCGTGATGATCCGCGGCAGCAGATCTGGACAGTTCAACCCGTTCCCTTCTCCAACGACGGAGACCGAATACCCAAGGTCCAAGAACCACCTCCATCTCTTGACGAGCAGTGTCCAGCCAGGTTTTGAACTGACCCCCTCTTCCACGTCTCCAGTTGGGCAACGGTCCCGGATCGAGGGCAGTAACACTGAGCTCCTGAGGTGGACGACGAAAAACATGCCCGAACCACTTCAGTCGACTTTCTTGGATGGCGTGGGTTATACTTGCGATTTTGTCGCAGCTAGCGCGGACTGTCTCATTTGAGACGAAGTCGGTGAACTTCACTCGAAGGATGGTCCTCAAGCAGTGGTGATCACATACCTCCAGTGTTCTCTCGTCCTCCACGCGCAAAGCCCAGCATTCGCAACCCCATGAAACACGCCCTATCACAGTACTACGACCCAACCCCAACCCTAGCCCTTTAATCTCCAACAAAAAATCCAAAATCCTAGCTCAAAATCATGACCCTAATTCTTAACCCCAATCCCAATCTCAGCCGCAAATCCAGACTGCAACCAGTGCCTGACAACCTCGGCACTAGGAATAACCCAACTCCTAATACTACCTCTAAATCCTACCGCATACCTCATTCTAACCCTCCACCCGATCCGGACAACTTTGACGTCAATAAGACTAGTGAAGATCAAAATTCGCGCACCACCTGACTAATTTGTCTGCCTTTTGCCATACAGACTCTTCTGACCCTAACTTGTAATCCGTGAGCATTTAGGGAAAGCCCGAACGCAGTCGCAACCCTAACCCTACACCTTTAATCTCCAACTCAAACTCATGACCCTAATTCTAAGCCCCAACCCCAGTCTCAGCCGCAAACCCAGACGCAAATTCAAATGCAGACTACACACCAAGCCTGACAACCGCGGCCCTAGGAATAATCCAACTCCCAATACTGACCCTACATCCAGCTGTATCCCTTACCATAACCATCAACCAGATCCGGGCAACTTGACGTCAGTAACGCTGACGAAGATCAAAATCTGCGTACCAGATGACTCCTTGACCTACGCTGTTGTGACCCACAGCATAGCGTTGTTGACAAAGACAGGGGAGAATGGGTTGGCCATTTCTAGCTTATTAGCCGTCTTAAGGCAGCCGTACTTGACTCGGAGGTGCGCAAACCCTGGGACTCGACCCCGCAACCTGTCGGCTAGAAGTCCAAGGTACTAACCTTTGAGCCAAGAACTCGCTGCACTGTCGAATGTGATGGGGTATATACACTGGTAGATGGGCGCTCAGCGATCGCGCTACGGAACTCACTCGTCCCATTGTGCCTTGGCGCCATACCACACCCACCTAGAAAATATGAGTAAGTTACATGCCCTATCGTCACCCTTCATAGATCGCCGTTTTCTGGCCGTGCGTTCATTGAAGCACTATGCACTGACTCTTTTCAATGATAGAAGCGAAGCTTGTTATTCCAGAGGTGCATTTAGAAGAACGTGTGGTAAGATGTGGTTATCTAGCCGCATCCGATGGACACAATAGTATTGATACACTTAGGTCGGCTTGCAGTACTGATTAACATGCGATATAATCCTATGGTAGTTCGGACTCGCCAGGATGTCGGCTTTTGAATGCACGACATTTTAACCTTCTACAGAAACCGCACTCGGTAAGAATGACGAATTATGTAGTAGGAATTTTACACATTGATTTTCGATGGTCTTATAAATTCAAACAGATTTCCTAGGAAATATGTACAAAATATGCTTTCTTTTACTTGGTTGGTAGAGAATCAGGTTGTCGTCACATTTCTACTTACGGAAAGGATATCTTTCGGTTTTAAAAAGTTTCTAATTATAGGAGTTCTAAGAGCGTGCACTGTCCACTCGTACAACACCGTACCCGTACGTTTATTAATGTTCCTTGTAAGACATACTACGTTGGCCGCATCCATTGCGAAATTCTGTGAACGCAACACGGTATATTCTTAACGGCATAGAGGAATATACGATTTTCCTTATGCGGAAAGCATGCGCCTTGTCGGCTGAAATCGTTAAAGTCTAGTGCAAAAGCTGATCTGACTCAACATTACTCGGGAATCGGAAAACTTTTTGAAAACCTAAAGATACCCTGGCACTTCTGGTGCTCTAAGTACATCCAGGACCCGAGTTGCCTTACACGAAATCCCATTAAGTAAAAATGCGTATGGTACTAAGTGTTTTGTCATGAAGTTTGCAAATCGGCTACCGTTCTTTATCTGAATTTGAAATGTTGACTTTTGGAGTCATATTAATGCAGCCGAAGTAACGATGCATGCGAATATTGCCTATATGGCAGAATAACATCAGGTATTTAGTGCGGCTGATTGTTTCGACTTTTATTACTTACGGTCTACGTCCGGCCCAATTGTTGGTAGTGGTCAAAGTCGGATCACAGGCCTGTTCCTATTAGTAGTCTCAAGGACACAAGGCTCCACCCACAAACCGGGGTAAAGGGCATGCGACTGGCGTCAAAGCATAGACTTTTCCGTAAAGCGTTTGGTCTGTGTCTAAGGTCCGTAAATTAATGACTGAATGATTGATGCACTTAGCGGAGGCGCCACAGTGTACCCTGAAGCTGTTAGTCCATTATTATCAAACGGACGGAGAAAATGGGCTTCAGGGATGCTTAAGGCCAGACTTAGACATCTTGACATTACGCTGGGGCTACTACTAGTCAACACGTTACGACCAACAAGGAGGAGTTTTCCTGATAAGAAGTTAGGAGGAGAAGATGAGTAACCAGAGTTCTGGATTCAGCAACAGCTACCACTCAGCTGGGTTGAACAAATGCCGAAGCTGCCTTTTGCTGTGATCATACACAGCCGGACACAAAAATACTGTCCTACTAATTCTGTCTTCCCAGGCGTGGCAGTTCAGAAAGCCCTCCCAATCTGTAGCTGCCAGTTGCTGACTATTAACTGCAGGCGAATACACTTCACCTGCTGTTCTTGCTAGCCTGCCATATTCTCGCATTCATTATCCGCTTTACAAGCGCTTCCCTTCCTCGTATTCTAAACGTGTCCTCGCAGCCTGGTGTGCAATGACAGTTCTTCGAAACCTGGCGCTCTCGCTAGGTATACAGGTCGTGTGCAGGGCTGTCCAGTCACCCACGTATTTTCTGTTGTTGGTGGTCGAATTCCTGGTCAATTGTTTGTTGTGGACCAGGGGGTGTGGAGTGGAACGCCCAGGTATGGGTCCGGCCACGCCACTCCCCTGCGCCCTGCCCGTCCCCGGTGTTCTGGACTCTTTCATGACAGTGGGCCCAGGTGGCAAGGAGGAGAGAGTGCGGTAGATGCTGCGCAAGTCTACTCTCACTTTAAACTAATTCACGTGCAAGTCACCGTGTCTGCTTCATCTTGCTGTGGAGCACACGTTGGACATGACGATCAAACTATTAATCATCCAGAACGTGCAAAATCGGTTGTGGTCCTTCCACGCAAAACGCATCATCTAAAAATATGGAACTTTTAGTCAATTGGTCTGGCAGTAGTTTACCATGCAAAACCCGAAAGTCTGTATTTAATTGCACAAGGCAGGTTAAAGCAGTATGAGAACATTCCATTGGTGACAATCCGGAATTCAGGTTTTCTGGCATCCGAAGAAAAGGAGGTTTCCGTCCATTTCAGTAACCAAGGACAACAGGGTTCAATGTAATCGGTCTTTATTGAGTGTGATACTTGTCTAGAACGAGGGGTTGAAACATTGATGTCCGTCTACGATATATATGTATATATTTTCACAATTCCAAACGTGCCCTCGCAGCCTGGTGTGCGCTGGCGGTTTCCCTGTGCTCTGGCGGTAGATGGGCTTGCGCTCTCGCTGGGTATCCAGGTCGTGTGCAGGGCTGTCCAGTCATCCAAGTCCTTTCTGTTGTTGCTGGACAAATTCCTGTCCAAGTGTTTGTTGTGGACCAGGGGGTGTGAAGTGGAACGCCCAGGTATGGGTTCGGCCACGCCACTCCCCGCCTCCTCCGCGCCCAGGTGGCTAGGAGGAGAGAGTGCGGTAGATGCTGCGCAAGTCTGTTATCAATATAAACTAATTCACCCGCAAGTCAACCTGTCTGCTTCATCTTGCTGTGGAGCACACGGTGGACATCGTCGAATACGATGGTCGAACTATCAATCATCCAAAACGTGCGAAAATCGGGTGTAGCCCTCCCACATAAAACACACCATATACAAAATATGGATCCTTTACCCAATTGGTCTGGCAGTAGTTTACCGTGCAAAACCCGAAAGTCGGCGTTTAATTGCACAAGGCAATTTAAGGCAGTATGAGGACATTCCAGTGGTAACCGTCTACAATTGAGGTCTTCTGGCATCCAAAGAAAAGGAGGTTTCCGTCCATTTCAGTAACCAAAGACTATGGAAGACAACAGGGTTTGATGTAATTGGTCTTTATTAGTGTGATACTTGTTTAAAACGAGGGGTCTAAACATTGATATCCGTCTACGATATATGTGTATATGAAGAAGATAGAAGGCTCGTCGGAAAAAATCGAGGTGTATTCATGATATGTGTGAAACAGTACAAGAACAACATTACTTCTGCAAGATAATATTTCTGACAAGAGTAAAGTGAGACGTCCAGCGCATATCTGCTGCCGGTACTACCATTATGGCGCAGCGTCAGTGTCTGAGTGAAATCTATGGTCCCGATGGTGTTGAAACCGGCGACTTGTAAAGAATTTCACTGTCCTTCTTTGTCCAGCGTCTGGACAGAGGATCAGTTGAAAAAGAAGAGCCGCAGTGATACTTCCCAGAAATGGAACGAAAGTGTGAATCTGCAAACAAGACAGAACGTCATGCTGTTTACATTCACTCGGTGTATGCTTTCGACAAGCACTGAAAACTGGCCGCAGGGGGTGATATAAAAATAAAATTTTATCCTTCAACGCTGTAAATTCCTTGCACCGCCAAGGGTGAGGAGTAGGTCCACTGTACTTATCAGTCCTTACGTACGATTGGTTCTCATGCGAAATCTCTGCCATAGTAATTTGTAAACCACACATTCTAAGTGAATTTATGAAGATCGTCAGCAATACGCTAACATTTTAGACAGGTATGTCTAAATGACTGCAGAAAGTGTAATCATTGAGACATTAGGGATATTGGAATTTACAATTCACTGAACAGCTTACCAAAACATTGACATATTTACCCTGTATGACTGACGGAGCCAGAAATACCGCTGGGTTGAATCCACATGGAAATTGTGCACCCTTTAAATACACGTAAATGAAATGAGTGAGGTTAATTCCAATTTTTGCAACAATTCTTTTCAAAAACAGTTTCATTTTAAGGAATTTTTTCTACAGCACATTCAGTGTGACAAAGTGATGTTGTACTTATAAAATCTGCCATACGCGCCTTGATGAAACATCTACTGGATCTCGCAAATGCACCTTTTAGTAGAGCCGAATGCTCAGGTGTTCATCCTACTTAGAAAACTTAACCAAACCTCTCTAGAATGGGAGTTTTGGTTAAATTACAAGCCGCTGCCCGCGAAGATCTACTTTAAATAGGAGAACTAATCATACAATATTTATTAAAAATACATAACATAATCCTCATGATAGTCATCAGAGGAATCAAAGTGTAATTACAGGCTTTAAGAGATTACTATATAAATGGGCATGAATCGATAACACGCCAGATAAACCACCGTCTGCATGTGGTTGCCGAAAACCGTCCACTTCGGTCTGTATCTGACTGGGTTCAGGTTCATAGGGATGCGTTCCAGGGCGGTGATATGAGAAAGAGAGAAAGTTCGCCGGAACAGACTTGGGATGTTGCTGACGTTTGGGAGTACTTGGTTGAATCCCCACTATCAAATTGTTTGAGGCGGAATTTGAAAAATCCAGCGCAGCCAATCGGCTTTGGACTAAGTGAGCCTTTTCTTCTTTCGCCGCCTCAGTTTTGGCAGGTGTTTCGGTGGTCTGACAGGTTCTTGCGTTATGTGTTGTCACCCCAATAGAGGATGGTTCGACTTCTGACTCCCATTCCGGTGAATTCCCCGTTAAGCTGGGTTTGCTCAGTTTTTATGAGCTCAGTGTAACTGTCCTGTTTCGGTCTTTGTGTATCTAATTTTTATGACTCGGCATGGCACTCAGAATCATGCGGATCGTATGCGCACTTGACTACTGTTTCCGATACCGACACGGCAAAGCAGGAGGAAACGACCAGCCATGAGAAATGCATTAGAAACCAGAAAGCCGCTCTAACTGGGAAAATAATGCGTATTTATAACACCCGATTGGGGTTCACCTGCTGTCGGTCCAATGGGCTTCGAGAATAAAATTTTAGACGGGCTGATCAATTTTTCGCGAGCACGAACCAATCGGGTTTAATGGGAGCGGCCAATGGCGAGCTGCCGTCATCATGTTGACAGCATGCAAGAAAAGGAGCACTCAACCTCCAGTGATTGGCTGGCTCTTGTTTCTGGGAGTGTAGACACTCCCAACATTAATGGCAAAGGAAGTGCTAGACGTGCGCTGATGGAGTTGTCCGAAACACTAGCAACACCATAACTCTGCCGCAGTCAGCTCTGTCTCTTTCTCACATGATTGTTTTGTTCATAATCACAGCTAGAATTTTTATTGCTTGAAACATTATAGATGCATAAATGTTTTGGGGATGGACCAGTTGGAGTGCGAAAGAAAAATAAAGACGGAAACTTGACGAAAAGGTAGCACGTGTACATTTCGAAAAAAATGCTGCGAGTATTCTGTTATGCCGCACAAATAGATCGATGTAATCCGTCTCCCCATATGAAATTGATTATTTCTAATAGAGTCTGCCGCTGCAGAGCCGTGATACAGAAGCAAGAGCCCTGAGACTCAGTACTCAAAGGTCAAATGTGCCTGAGTTTGGTGTGGACCAGCTTGCGTACGGAAGCTTCTTCCTAAATCTGTCCACAAATTTCGATGCGATTAGGTATTCCCCAAAGTCTTTTTAAAAGGGCGTTAAACAGAACTGACACCAATTAGGCGATACGCGCTTCGGGACTCCCTCTGCCATTACGAATAGCCATGATCCGGAAGCTGATGAATGTTGTTCCAAAGTAACTTTAGTTCACTAAATCATTTTTTCCATCATCGACATACTCTAAGGCGACGGGAATATCCGGGTTCGAAAAGAATCACAATATTATCTCATTGCATCTGATTTACGCCGTGTGTTGTGCATGTACATTTTTATACGCCGTGCTCAATGTAGTCTTTCTGAAAACCCCTAATAAGTATTTATAACAAATGCGTACACTTCCCCCTGTTCAGCAGCTATTTTTGTCAGTTGATATCCTCTTTGAAAATTAACAAATAAGCATGAAAATTATGCGTACAATAACTGCAGTGTTGTAGGTACCCAGAGATATGCAGCTGTCCATACGGAACTGTTAAACAATAATTGTCTCGTCCGCTTGAACACATGCGCATTACGTATAAGCTGGCATCTGACTAAACCGTGCATTCTACGCGAAGATTAAAATCCGGGTTAATAGTAATTTATTTGCGAGAGGTTTAGTGTTGTCCTGTTTTCTTCAGAACATTATGATCTAAAAAAGATCGCAGTTCTGATAATGCAAAAATAATTAAAATTATAAAAAATGGCTACTTAACGTTGGACGGTAGCACTGGTTGTAATTTCCATTACGAAAGCATACACTTACAAATACCCCTCTGTTGACCATGGCCATTAAACCGATGGCTAGACAACTATTAAAGCCGAAACCTGACCAGGTGTCGGGGCGGCGAGAGTCAGCCGACACGAGCACGATGGTGATGAAGATGGTGCTGGCTAGGTACTCTGAAAGCACCTGCAGTGGCGTACTGCCCAACGCCGTCCCATTGCCACTAGGTGGACCCAAGGGCTCAGTACTGCCGTCAAGAAAGGCATGCGCGATAGCGGATCCGGCGAAGGCTCCCGCAAATTGAGCTGCCCAATAAATGGGCAGATAGACGAAGTAGACAATGCGGCAGAGAGTGAGTGCCAGTGTAACTGAAGGATTCACGTGTCCGCCGCTGATTGGACCAGCCAACCAGATGGCCAGTGCCAGTGACGAGGGAACGACAACGGCGGCTGGAAGGCTTGCGCTGTCAATCTCAGTCATACGAAGGGCGGCGAAGGAAAGCAGTCCAGTTCCTAGCATTTCAGCCACGCATTGGCGGACAAGCTGCCAGGCCTGCGCTTTAGAACATTGAGGTATTTCATTTATGGGGTTCACTGAAGGCAGCCCTTCTTCTTTGATATTGTCAGTGTCCATTGAAGGCGTCGGATCTGCAGTCAGCAGGAAAAGAAGAGCATAAAAAGGACTGCTACTAAATGCCTTTTGGAGTCCCCAATTTTTCTGAATTTCAGCAGAAACTAAACAGGCATCTGTTTGAAGTATCCCCTACGGTTATACATCAGCTGACTTGATCTACTAAGTGCCGCCCCTAAGAAAGTGAGATGCCTCTGTCGGCATGTTTGCCATGCACGGCGTCATTTTTGTAGGTACCCAAATATTTTAGGTCGTTTTGGTATTAATTTTTCCAAAAAATAATGGAATATTACGGGTCATCACTTCAAAGCTGCTGAACAATTTTCGTCTGCCAACGTAAACACAGATTATCAAAGACTGTACCAGCCAGCATCTATGCTGTGCAACAGACCCTGCGATCGACAGCAACCATGCGCAATAAAATAATGCGAGTGAAAGACCGAATAGACATAGGAGGACAATTGGTTGCCGTTTATTAGATCCCATGTTGGGATTGCCCTCGCCATTACAACGGACAGACCGGACGACGGTTTAGTTGGCACTTGACGGAGCATAAACGGGCAGTCCGGAGAGGCGACCCGTTGTCTCAGGTCGCCACTCACACCCTGGAATGAGGCCACGAATTCAGCTTCGCAAGCACGCGGATAGTGGCACGGGTCAGCGATAAGACAGAGCGAGAACTGCTGGAGGCCTGGGTGTCTGACAGAAA